TCCCAAACCCAGAAAGCCTTTTAAGAGACTGGAGTCAAGATGTTTTGGTTCTTCTACTGTGTGTGTGCGTGTAGACTGGAACCCTAGTTGAGTTTCAGTTTCAAATGTGGGAGTCTCAGAGTAGTAGGGTGTGGCCCCACTCTGCCTTCACCCTCCACCAAAATCAATCACTCTTTGTGTGGCGTAAGCCCTAGCATGTCTCACACACTCACACAAAGCTCCCTCGTGGGCTTCACCATGTTTGTTTGTGTCTACAAGGCCTCCCTTACTCTCTCCATCACACACACTCACTCTCAAGATAACAACTGTCCTCTCACCCCGAACACAACCTCTATGTACTCCGCTACACACACACACACACACAGTGCCCTCTGACTCTTGGTTTGTGTGTGCCTGTGTCTTGCGTCTGTCCTCTTCCTGCTCTCCTTCCTCTAACTCTTTGTTCCTCCTCTCTCCTTTCCTACCAGAGTAGTTTTTACTCCACACACTCAACTCATCTCTGTTTGATTATTCCTTAACATATAACAGATCTTTGAATGAGCTCTGGAATGGCTCTAACACCTCTTTTCATCTGCTATATCACTCTCATCTCTAAAAATCGTTTCTATCTGACAAATTCCATGATGTACAGTAAGGCATTGTTGGCAGAATAGATGGATACAGTTCAATGCATGATTTATATAATTAATCAATACATTTCTTGGTAGTCCCCAAAAAAGATTGCTATCAGGTTGTAAATCACAGCTGTTCTGGCACATTGTTTGCTGCTTCCACCCATTCGGGATGAACTGTTTCAGTTCCAATGACTCAATATTTTGAAACAAAAATGGACGACTGTAACTAAGGCTGGGAATGTCAATACAATCAAACTAGCAAGGGCAATGATCACAAGTCAGTCATAACGTGGCTAATAGGCTAACGCACATGTGTCGAACACAAGGCCCGCGGGCCGTATAGTACACACAAGCGCGTATAAATGAGTCAACAGTTGAGTCATCTACTTTATGAAATTACAAACTGATGCACTAGCATCGGTGAATTCAATTTAAATTACGCTGCTTTCGTGTCCGGTTTACAGCGTGTAGCGGAGGGAAAGTGTACAGAAACAAAACACCATGCAATGGAGAAACATGTAGGCCTATTACAGCAACATTTGAGCAGTAGCCTAGGCTGGCTACTCAACTACAATACATTTTGAGTGCACTATACAACAATGCTGCATTCAACCGCACCGGTGAGCCATGCAGTGCAAAAAAAATGTAAAACATGTTTTAAGTTGAACAACAACCTATAACTACGTTTTTGTTATTTGGAGTTAATACGTTTTGATTAGCATCGCAGCAAGCATAGCAGCAAAGGCTGGACACATTTTATTTATCTCTTGTTTTAATATGTTAAAATGCTATATACAGCAGTAGACATTATAAAGGGCCATCTTTTTTCGAATAAAATAATGGGCAGTTTGGGTCGCAGTTGCACGTTTTTTTGTAAAAACAAATCTGGGCTTGTGTATCTATTTATGTAGATAGCTATTTATTTAGCAAGCTAAAAACACGGAGCCTAACGTTAGCTAGCTAGCTGCTGGGAGGATGTCATGTCATTGGAGGAGTGGGTGAGTGACTGACTTTTTCCCCTCATCGTTTTTCGCTGGCTACAGCTAGAGATTAAGGTGTCATTTGGTTAGCTAGCAAGAAATGTGAATCGCTTTGCTAGCTAGCTATACTGAACTTGGAACGACTGTTATCCACAGTTAGCATATCTCTTAGTTGTCAATCAAATGTATTTGGCACCGATCAAATGGTCTGGCAGGCAAGTTCCCATTCAGTTGGGACAAGCATGCATTGGCAGGCAAGCTGCAGAAGGACGAGCAGGCTACTATTCCCCATCGTTTATCAGTGCAATTTTGACGGCCAACTAACTGAACAGTTTGAGAGGGTTTATCTAATGTTCTCTTGTTAGATTTTAGCTCATCTCGCTCTGGCTAGCATTAGTTGTTCATCTTGTTGATGTGCACAAGCAACTGAGGGCGAGTGAGTCAACCGTTTCATGGTTGTTTGATCAATAGGACTGTGAAGTTCCCAAATGTAAGAGGACACCTGTGGTATTTACAGAAATCCATTCAGGTGTATTTTGTGGCTTTTGGCGAATGCATTCTAATGATCTAAAGTCGCGCTGTTGCTACTGCCTGTAAACACACAATCCAGTTAAAAGTGAATGAAGGCAGGCCCGTGTGGCAAATGGCTTATTTGCATAATGTCCTACTGTAGCTCTGATTTGGCTATTGCTATAGAATTTTCACAAATGCCTTACTATATGTAATTCCCAAACATTCTATGAATTTATGAAGACGTGAAAATGACCATATCTAAGTGCTCCCTTGTCAGAAAATGTAAAAAAAAAAATACAATAAAGAAAATGTCATTTTTCCTGGGGGTGTATATAAACAGATTTTAAGATTTCATGTCACTAAAACATTGTCAGTTCCACTTTAAAGAGGTGATGGATTATAGGCTCAGGGGACAACACAGTGTGTGTACTTGTTTAACTATACTTGTGGGGACATTTTGTTAGTCCCCACAAGGGCAAATGCTATTTATAGAGGGGTTAGGAGCTAGGGTTAGGGTTAGTGGTTAGGGAAAATAGGATTTTGAATGGGACTGAATTGTGTGTCTCCACAAGGTCAGTTATACGAGTGTGTGTGTGTGTGTGTGTGTGTGTGTGTGTGTGTATGTTGTGGCTGGGTAAACCGCTTGTGGTCAGAGCGAGAGCGTAAATCTGTTGTGTTTGTGGGCTGACCGCTCTGTGTGTTTAAGTTGCTCAGATTCACGAATGAATACACCTATTCCTCCAAAGTCTACGTTTGAATATTCTCCAAAACTTGGATGTCAAGTCATGTTTGTGCTGGGAACCACGAGCTCTTGTGTGTCTTACTGAGGTAGGGAGAGAGTGATGTTGGGGCCATGTGTGGCCCCTGTGGTGGGCAGCACAGGGAGCACCCCACTGTGAGGTATAGTTTTGGTTGGCCCCATGCCTGCTGTTATGGCCAGCCAACTCCACTAGCCATCTGTCTGTCTGTAGTTCAACTACAGGACCTTCACAAGCCACATCATCTAAAATTGTTTATGGATTGGTTAGGGTTGTTGTAGCCAGAGTGCTGACCCATTTTATGTCCCTCAACACGTGTTTCAGGTGAACTGGGAGCCAAGCACTTCTCCTTCTGCACAGAATGTACTGGACAAAACACACTGGATATAAACTCTCTCCCCCCCTCTTTATCCCTCCCTCTACCCCCTCTGTCCCTCCCTCTATCTCTCCCTCCCCCTCTGTGTGTTTGTCAGATGAGTTAGTGCTGTGATTTGCTCTGATTTATCGATCGTTGAAAAACCCTCCGCCTCACGAAATGTTTTCATAACCTCTAGCCCTGCCCTCATTTTCTCTTTAAGATCTGCTTTAGCTGTTAAGACTGCCTATGTGAACTGTGTGGCTGTGCTCGTACGTGCATTCCCTATCCCCAGTCATACAGCATTAACAGATGTGCATCCACAGTGAGTGGAGAGTTTTCCATGGATCTCACTTGACAGCAGAGCATGTGTAAATGAAAGCAGTTTAACATAATTGTGAGTGGCGATATGAACGCTAGCAGACTGATATGATTAGCGTTCCAAGCCCCCAGTGTCATGGTGAGGGTTAGAGCGGTTGCTATCTGATGTATGGATGGAGGGTTGCGTTGGCTGTAGGAGGATGTGGTCAGAGTAGAATTACATTGTATTATCAGGGTTCTTTTTCTTCAAACAAGACGCCATGAATGGGACCCTCTATTCACTCAGAAACAACACCATTCACTATTGGTGGTCACAAAATGTGTGTGTGTGTGTGTGAGTAACATTCAGCCACTCACTGTAGAGCGTGTCACCACCTCATTATGTTGACTTGTTTATTTAACCCTAATCTGTCCTGGTTAATTTAACAACCATTTCTCATTCTCAGGCAGAAAGGATATTAGGAAACCAAAGCTTAAAGAAATAAACAGGAGCAAGAGTCGACACACACACCACCACCATATCTCGGATCTCTCCATCTGACCTCTCTCTCTCTCTCTCTCTCTCTCTCTCTCTCTCTCTCTCTCTCTCTCTCTCTCCTCTCTCTCTCTCTCTCTCTCTCTCTCTCTCTCTCTCTCTCTCTCTCTCTGAAGTGTTAGAGAGGAATGCTGTGCTCTGAACTCAGTTTGTTGGCCTACTTGACTCCCTCTTTCCTCTTTTCCTCCCTCTCCTCTGGAACAATAAGAGTTATGGAAAAATTCCAGCTCGACCGAGAGAAGGAAGTTACTCCAGTGAAATACAGTAAATGTCCACTGACTCATTCCTGTTCCCTATATGCCCTTTATTGATCTAGAGGTACTTGAATGGTAAAGTTTCAGAAGCCCAATAAAGGCTCTAGCAGCAGTGAATGGACATGTACAGTGTAGCAGGCTACCTGTTGCTGAGCTCCTGTGTGTAGCTAGTTCCCTTTTCTCCTGCAGTCCAACTCAAACCATGAGTGACGTCCACATACAGCCCGTCTGTCTCAGGCTCTCTGTCTGAGGAATCCTTCTCACTCACACGGTACAGAGTCTCACGGTAAAGCTAGACCAATCTAGATCCCAGTCCCCTGGAGAAGCAGAGCGTTGCTAAACTCCTCTAACTCTTCTGCACCCAGAAAATAACTGCCTAACAGAACGTTCTAACCTCTCCTGCAGAGCAGAGCTCTCCCAGTTGCTCACATAGCTACACAACACAATGCAGGGAGCGAGAAAGAGAGGGGAGGGGGAGGGTGGGACAACAAACTTGGAGACATGCAGCTGCTTACCTCAGTGTGTGTTTGCAAGAGCGTATCCTGCAGCAGATGTAGGTGTGTGTCGTCAGTCAGTATGTCAGTCAGGCAATCCTCAGTGAGCCTCGGTGCTCCAGTTCAGTCCCCTCTTCAGGCTCTGCTCATCTACACTTCTCCCATCTTACACAGGTGCTCATCTCTGTCCTGTGGTTGGATCTCCAGAGCTTCAGAATCTAGAGGCTCGCTGTCTGAAGCCTGCTGCCCAGCAAAGTCTCCTCTCTGTGGGCTCAGTGAGGCTAGGGTTAGGGGTTAGAGCTGGAGCTCTCTGTCCATGGCTAAACTACCGGTTACTTCTACTTACTGAGCTCTGGTGCCTCAAGGTTTTCACAAAGGATTGGCTGGAGAGGGAAGGGAGGGAGAGAGGAGGGTTTGGGGGAGGGAGGCTGTTTTTCTACCTCCTTTTCTCCCTGTCTTTTTTAGAATGACCCAGCCCACCTCTGATGTCACTGGTCTGAGAAAAATAGTAAATATCAGAAGAACCTCCTCCTAAAAGTTTCACATCTTCCACCATTCCTGTCCCGGTTTCTTTTTTTTAAGGAAATCAGTTTGAACTCTCTTTGTTTGGGGGTAGGGACAGCAGACACACACACAGGTCCAGGTCTGCCCCAGTAACCCCCATCGCACTAGTACTCCAAACTCACCAGCCTCTTTCTGGGTTACTCCTCTGTGCTTAGACCCCTCTGTGTGAGTCAGTCAGACTCCCTCCATCCCTTCCTCCCCAGGCTGTAGTGATAGAGTTCATGCTGTGCCACAGTAATCCTGATGTCGTCTCTGGGTTTACAGCAGCTTCCTTTAGACACTATGTAATACAGACAGCTGTGCGTGAGTGGATGTTTGTGTGGTGTTTGTAGGTCACACTGATTTGTAGAGAGATGCAAAGGAGACCCCAGGTGTATGGAGAGACCCTCTTCCTCACCTCCCCTCCTCCCTCCCTCAGCCATGTGAGATGTCAGAAAGAGAGCAGATGATGTACATGTAACCCACCAGATGGGGAGTTTCATGTCACACACACTTCCAGATAGAACGCTGGAATGAGAAGAAGGGAATCAGGGGAGAGTAAAGTAGGAGAAGAGGGCCCTTTTTTTCCTAGGACTTAGTAACTGCTTCCTGCTCTTGTCCCAGATTTGTGTGTGTGTCCACGTGCGTTCTGGGCAGACTTCACTCTTGCATGACTAACTGTGGTCATCCGCTATGAAATGACCAGTAATGGCGGTTAAGCCTTCACTGTCTCTACCGCTCTTTCTTCTTCCCTATATCTCCCTCCTTTCCTCCCCTTCTCTCTCTGCTTCTAATCAGAGTATGATGGTATGACAGTCATAAGGCTCTATGTTGAGTGGTGCTGGGAAAGGGGAGATGAATAGAACAGGGATAGAAGGCAGTAGAGAGGAGAAGATAATGACAGATACATGGAGAGGAAGATGTAGGAGACGGGCAGTTAAATGGTGCTGTAAATTCATCTCAATTTCCAGAGATGAAAACCAGCTACTGCCTTTGTCTCCTAATGATAATATTTGTGTAATGAGAGACTGAGAAGCTTAGAGCTGTAGTACTGCCAGGGAGAGAGAGACCGAGAAAGAGGGAGCTGGCTGGGCTCAGAAGAGGAGTGTTACAGCCTGAGTTTAAAATGTATTACATTTAGATTTTGCGTCACCGGCCTACACACAATACCCCATAATGTCAAAGTGGAATTATGTTTTAGAAATGTATACAAATTAATAAAAAATGAAAAGCTGAAATGTCTTGAGTCAATAAGTATTCAACACTTTGTTATGGCAAGCCTAAATAAGTTCAGGAGTAAAAATTAGCTTAATAAGTTGCATGGACTCTGTGTGTAACAATAGTGTTTAACATGATTTTTGATTGACTACTTCATCTCTGTACCCCACACATACAATTATCTGTATGGTCCCTCAGATGAGCAGTGAATTTCAAACGCAGATTAAATCACAAAGACCAGGGAGGTTTTCCAATGCCTCGCAAAGAAGGCACCTGTTGGTAGATGGAAAGAAAATAAATCTGACATTGAGTATCCCTTTGCGCATGGTGAAGTTAATAATTACACTTTGGATGGTGTATCAATACACCCAGTCATTACAATGATACAGGCGTCCTTCCAAACACAGTTGCCAGAGAGGAAGGAACCCGCTCAGGGATTTCACCATGAGGCCAATGGTGACTTTAAAACAGAGTTGAATGGCTGTGATTGGAGAACTGAGAATGGATCAACAACATTGTAGTTACTCCACAGTACTAACCTAAATGACAGTGAAAAGAAGGAAGCCTGTACAGAATACAAATATTCCAAAACATGCATCCTGTTTGCAATGAGGCACTAAAGTAAAACTGCAAAAGCTGTGGCAAAGAAATTAACTTTATGTCCTGAATACAAAGCATTATGTTCGGGGCAAACACAACACAGCACTGAGTACCACTCTTCATATTTTCAAGCATGGTGGTGGCTGCATCATGTTATGGGAATGCTTGTTATCGGCAAGGACGAGGGAGCTTTTTAGGATGAAAAGAAACAGAATAGAGTTAAGCACAGGCAAAATCCTAAAGGAAAACCTGGTTCAGTCTGCTTTCCAACACACTGGGAGACATTCAACTTTCAGCAGGATAATAACCTAAAACACAAGGCCAAATATCCACTTGAGCTGGTGCAATCAATTACCTTCAGAAGTAACATAATTAGTTAAATAAAGTGTCACGTGATCTGTCACGTGATCTCAGTATATATACACCTGTTCTGAAAGGCCCCAGAGTCTGCAACACCACTAAGCAAGGGGCACCACCAAGCAAGCTGCACCATGAAGACCAAGGAGCTCTCCAAACAGGTCAGGGACAAAGTTGTGGATAAGTACAGATCAGGGTTGGGTTATAAAAAAATATCAGAAACTTTGAACATCCGACGGAGCACCATTTAAATCCATTATTAAAAAATGGAAAGAATATGGCACCACAACAAACCTGCCAAGAGAGGGCTGCCCACCAAAACTCACGGACCAGGCAAGGAGGGCATTAATCAGAGAGGCAACAAAGAGACCAAAGATGAAGGCGCTGCAAAGCTCCACAGCGGAGATTGGAGTATCCAATGTGCCCATAGGACCACTTTAAGCCGTACACTCCACAGAGCTGGGCTTTACGGAAGAGTGGCCAGAAAAAAGCCATTGCTTAAATAAAAAAAATAAGCAAACACGTTTGGTGTTTGCCAAAAGGCATGTGGGAGACTCCCCAAATATATGGAAGAAGGTACTCTGGTCAGATGAGACTAAAATTGAGCTTTTTGGCCATCAAGGAAAACGCCATGTCTGGCGCAAACCCAACACCTCTCATCATCCTGAGAACACCATCCCCACAGTGAAGCATGGTGGTGGCAGCATCATGCTGTGGGGATGTTTTTCATCGGCAGGGTCTGTGAAACTGGTCAGAATTGAAGGAATGGTGAATGGCGCTAAATACAGGGAAATTCTTGAGGGAAACCTGTTTCAGTCTTCCAGAGATTTGAGACTGGGACAGAGGTTCACCTTCCAGCAGGACAATGACCCTCAGCATACTGCTAAAGCAACACTCAAGTGGTTTAAGGGGAAACATTTAAATGTCTTGGAACGGCCTAGTCAAAGCCCAGACCTCATTCCAATTGAGAATCTGTGGTATGACTTAAAGATTGCTGTACACCAGCGAAACCCATCCAACTTGGCCTCCCGAGTGGCGCAGTGGTCTAAGGCAGTGCTAGCTGTGCCACTAGAGATCCTGGTTCGAATCGAGCTCCAGGGATGTATCTCAGTTGGTGGAGCATGGCGTTTGCAACGCCAAGGTTGTGGGTTCGATTCCCACGAGGGGTATATACATTTTTTATTAAAAATAATGTAAGTCGCTCTGGATAAGAGCATCTGCTAAATGACTTTTTTTTTTTTTTACCTTGAAGGACCTGGAGCAGTTTTGCCTTGAAGAATGGGCAAAAATCCCAGTGGCTAGATGTGCCAAGCTAATAGAGACATACCACAAGAGACTTGCAGCTGTAATTGCTGCAAAAGGTGGCTCTACAAAGTATTGACTTTGGGGGGGGGTGAATAGTTATGCACGCTCAAGTTTTCTGTTTTTTTTGTCTTATTTCTTGTTTGTTTCACCCCCCAAAAAAAAGTGGTAGGCATGTTGTGTAAATCATATGATACAAAAGTCAAGGGGTGTGAATACTTTCTGAAGGTACTGTATACAGTATAGTTAACACCATCACTCAACACTCATGTTTATGTATATATGAATGACAGCAGGATAGAAAATTGCATGGGTGGTTTTGTTTATTAGTGGTATTTGTGTGGTACACATTCCACTCATGTCCGTTTTATGACTACTCCAGTGTGATGTCATCAGACTGGCAGCCATATTAATTACCCATGAGTCCTCATTCCAGGAGACACACACAGAGAGCTGTATGGCAGCCAAGCTCCATCGTGCCACTAAACTGTGTGTGTGTGATCAGAATGGTCCCTGGTGTTGTTTTGTATCATGCCTCGGACAGATGGGCCGTGTCCTCATTTGGCTGGAACGACAGAGGTCTGAGAGATGGAGAGGAAGAGAAATGGAGAGGGAGGGAGTGAAGGAAAGATTGGTTGGTCTGCAGGGCAACTAATGCAATCTTTTTCACTGAGTCAGCAGTTTCTGTTTTCTGTTTACATTCATGTTTGTTTGTTTGTGTGTGTGTGTGTTTGTAAGAAAATCAATGCTGAAGTGATGTTAGTTCCCATGGCAATGGCGGCCTCCGTGTACTTACCACAAATGCCTTTTTTGCTAAGTTCGCCATATTGTACATTGCTCTCATTACTCTTTTTTTGTAAAGGCATTAGCGCACTACACATGATCCCAATCCTAGCTCCAAGACAGCGGCAAAAATAAAAAATAAAAACTAGATTGGCACATTGAACCATGTTGCGTGCCTTAGTTTAAGAACTCTGTGGGTAGTGCTAAAACAATGTTGTAATATCTGAATTCCTACATCTTTATGCACCTTCGCCATTGCATTTGTTACTCTTGTATTTGTTAGTGTTCTAGGATTCTATTTAGCCTAGGATCTCCTGTGTTTAAGAGTGTTTAACCATGACGTTGTCTACAAGTCTTTTACTCTTTCTCTCTCTCTCTCGCTCTCTTTCTCTCTGTAGGTATGTATCTGTCTGACCTGACATATATAGACTCAGCGTATCCCTCTACTGGCAGCATCCTGGAGAACGAACAGAGATCCAACCTCATGAACAACATCCTGAGGATTATATCTGACCTGCAACGCTCCTGCACCTACGGTACATGCGCGCGCACACACACACACACACACACACACACACACCTCCCTGCTCCATATCCTAAGACCATTCTCTCGGTCTCTGTAGATATACCAGTGTTGCCTCATGTCCAGAAGTATCTAAACTCAGTCAGGTACATCGAGGAGCTACAGAAGTTTGTGGAGGATGACAACTACAAGTGAGTAGTGGCTCTGTTACGTTAATGGAGTTTGATAAGGTGACATTTATTGGAAGTCATAATCAGGTGTGTTTAGTGTCTACTTCAGGTGTGTGGAATGTAATGTGGTCCTCATGTGTAATGTTGTGTTCAGGTTGTCGTTGAAGATTGAGCCAGCCACCAGCACCCCTCGCTCTACTGCCTCTAGAGAGGACCTCGTAGGTCCCGACGCTTCTGCGTCTCCTCTGTGTGGCCATAAGGGCCCCATCGCAGACGGAACCAAAGTCCCTCCCACGCCCCCCTCCCCTAGGAACCTCCTCCCCTACGGACACAGAAAGTGTCACAGCCTGGGCTACAAGTGAGTCACCTCAACACTGCAGGCTCACTTTAGCATCCATTACCCCATAATCCTCTGAATTCTATGCCATAATCACCCCTATGTGCTTTTTTTAGTGGTTTCGCAAATTTTACTGCATTGGTTCATTATCATATGTTTTCTAATAGTTATTTTGTTTCTCTGTAGTTTTATCCATAAGATGAATACAGTGGAGTTTAAGAGCGCTACGTTCCCCAATGCTGGTTCTCGTCATCTATTGGACGACAGCGTCATGGAGAGCCACACCCCTACAAGAGGACAGGCCGAGAGCTCAACGCTCTCTAGCGGCATCTCACTGGGTTAGATAGACACACACACACACACAACTGTGTTTTGATTCCTGTCTGTTGACTTTGACAATAACACGTCTGTCTGTCTGTCTGTCTGCAGGGAGCAGTGAAGGTTCAGAACTCAGTGAAGAGATGTCCTGGCCAGCCTTCGAGAGGTAAGTCTGTACACACACACACACACGATTTGTGAAGCTCTTTGACCAAAATTTAGCCTACAGGCAAGCAGCACTCGCTGCCTTCTGAGCTGCTCTCCTCTACTAGTCTCTCTCACTGGCTCCATGCTAGTGTGATTGATGTGCTTTAGTAATGCCTAGGCTTCAGCTCAGTGGGCGAACACAGTCTTGGCGTGTGCAGACTATTGAGGTTCAATCCCAGTAACAGGTCACAGAAGCCCTTATTTCCGACCGTCCGTTGCTCTGTACCAAAAACACCAGTCCTGAAAGAACCTGAAAAACCTTTTGCAAAAGAACAACCGTCCTGAACCCAACCCTCACACTTTGCCAAAACAACAACAACCTTAACCTTTACGACCTTAACACTAATCTGAACCTACATTGTGCTACAATGAGCTGAGAGAACCCGACCTTAACAGTGTTCCGTGCCCCCACCCTGTGCCTGTCCCACCCTATCCTCTGCTGAACAGGACTCGGTTCTATCACTCTCTGGGGCCTGTGACCCGCGTGGCCAGAATCCCCTACAGAGGAGGCCTGAGGCCCAGCAGGTACACACACATTATGCCCCTTCTTCTCCTCTACACTCCTCTCAACACCCTCGCCCCCTTCTCAACCCCCTTTCCACCCTGCCATCTGCTGCCCCCATATCCCACAGCCCCCATCTCTGCCTGGGGCCACTGTGCTTGTGTGTGTGTGTGTGTGTGTGTGTGTTTGGGGGGGGTGGATGCTTCTTCTATCTTTGTGGGGACCTAAAATCACCAAAAGTCCCCACAAGGATAGTAAAAAGGAAAATTCTCCCTTGTGGGGACCTTTCCCACATCCCCATGAGGACAAACGCTATTTTAAGCTTAGGGGTTAGGGTTAAAGTTAGGGTTATGGTAAGGGTTAGGTGTTAGGGAAAATAGGATTTTGATTGGAAATTAATTGTAGGTTCCCACGAGGAAAGAAGAACATAACGTGTGTGTGTGTGTGTGTGTGTTATAATCAGGTGGTGGGCCTCTGTGGTTGATTCTCCGCTAAACCAGACCATTTTAGCAACACTCTCGCTCTCCCTGTATGGCATCTCTCATACACATTTTAATAACTTGTTTACTGTTCAAACATTTATATGGGATCGTCAATGAATCATTATGCAATATGGACCCTGCAGGTTTTGTAAGAGATGACAGATTCAGAATGTTCCAGTAAGTTTCCAGTGCTCTGTGTCAGTCAGGGATGACCTGCCATAGACTTCTATTCTAGCTCCATACAGTTATGACGGATTGTGTTCTCTAATGCTTCACTGGTTTCCTTCTTGCTCCCACTGGCTGTCCTCTTCTTACTCTCTGTGATCACAGCCAGACAGACTCTGCACTAGAACCTCCCAGGAATCTATTGAAAGGAAAATGCATCTGTGGAATTGATTCAAAGCAAACCAAATATTGCTGCTACACAGTTGATTGAATATGCAGATAGTACAGTTCACATATTGATTAATTAGGTAACTTCCCTGCTGATTTCGACTGGCCCTACTTCAGACAAAGTACTTTTTGTATTTCTGCACATGTGTGAGTGCATGTCTGTTTGTGCCTGTGTTTCTGTGTGTGTGTGTGTGTGTGTGTTTATGTCCTTGTCACAGTGTGTGTGTCTCTGTTTGTGTGTGTTTCTCTGAGTGTGTGTGTGTTGTAACCCTGCTGTGTTCTGCTGTAGCTCGGCAGAGTCTGAGGAGTTAGCGGTGCACCTGTACCCTGGAGCCGTCACTGTACAGGGAGTCCTACGACGCAAGACTGTCCTCAAGGAGGGCAAGAAACCCACGGTGAGAACACGCACACACAGAACATACTGTACGTACAGACAGAGAGAAAACATCCAAACTTGTACTGTACAGACAGAGAAGGACACACACACACAGCCAGCCATCTGTTTTGTCAGGTTTGTCCCTGTAGCCCAGCAGTGCTGCACGTGTAGAGATGTGTGGAACAGCCAACAGCCAGGCTGTAGAAACACTCTGAATACTAAACATAATAGTACACCTCAGAGACCCGTAAATACATTAAAACCACCAGCTCCCTTTTCTGTTTCTCTGCCCTGTCACTGTGCTACCTCTGTTACTGTGCTACCTCTGTTCTCTGTGCTCTTTCTCTGCAGTATTCCTGCCCTCTTCCTGCTCTCTCTTTCTCTTCCCGCTCTCTCGGCTGTCTCATCTATTGCCATCATCCTGACTCTTATTTGTGTTAAATGAGCTTCTCTCTGCTGTCTCTCTGGGATGGAAACTCATCTGGACATGGTTATATGTCTGAGGCTGGCAGGGCTGACATAAGGTTACGTAAGGGTGGCATAAGGGTTACTGTAGGTGACGTAAGACCTGTTTTCTTTGATGTAACAACTTCTTGGTCTATCTGTATGATTCCCTCTCTCTCATTCTTTCGCATATGCTCACACGCAACATACACACAGTCAAAGCCACACTCCATTAGTCTTTTATTCATCTCTGAGCCTGTGTTTCCTCTCAGCAGTTTAGAACATAAATGTTATTCTCCAACCAACCAGTCCTGGAAAAACCTCCACCCAAACCATCAATGAACATACTCTCTCTCTCTCCGTCCCTCCCTCTCTCTGTCTTGCTCTCCGTCTCACTCTCTCTCCATATTTACTTCTTTGTCCCGGTCTCTCTGCTGAAGCAAACAAGCGGAAAACAGAATTATATCTACAGCCAACATAACCCACAGATTTCCACTATAACAGCACTCTTAAAATAATGTATATTTGCGTCCATACTGGTCTATGTAGTTAGCCTAAACTCTGATATGTCAATCTTCAATAATGGACTACAGTTATAAGCATATCCTATTGATTTATGTGTACGGTATGTTGCCCTGAAACTAGTTGTGTGTATATTAGCTGTATCTATAAAGTTGTATTGAATTGATAGACTGGTGTAAGTGACTACTGCGTGTGACCTATAAACACTGACCTCTGACCCCTGTGTGTATAGGTGGCATCGTGGACCAAGTTCTGGGTGGCTCTGTGTGGAACTCAGCTCTACTTCTACCCTGCGAAGTCCCTAAAGGCCACAGAGAGAAAGCATGTAAGTCTCTCTCACCCCTTCACATCAAATCTTCTCAGCCCTCCCACTCTACACCTCCCTCCCTCCATCATCCAGTCTCCCACCATCATCCAGTCTCCCTCCCTCACACCATCCCCTTCCACACACACTGGGTTTCCAGACCTGGCCGTTGCTGCCTCATTGTTCCAGTGTGATAAAGCCAGCCAGCAAATGAAGCAGAGGGAAAGAGGGAGGGTGCAAACAAGTGTGTGTGTTTGGACAGTATCAGTTTGACAGGGGAACAGGACTCACACAGCAGATTGGAAACTGCACAGGAGCTCAGAGGAAGGAGGGAGTGAGAGGAATGAAAACTAGTGGAGCGCCTGATGAAGGGATGTTGTCATGGGCCTGGGGGCTAGCGCAGTGGGAGAGCGAGATGGAGAGAGGGATGGAAGTATTTTAAACGAGTGGAGCGGCAGCTGGTAGCACTCATTGGATAATGAGACCAAGGATATAATCCTAGTCCTCCGTGTCACTCACAGGGTAATGGGGACCTCGTGGCAGGGAAACACACACAATCACACACACACACACAGCGCCATCTTCCCTACAAACTGAGTGCAGTCTGCAGAGACAATTGTTTTCAAACTCGCACAAATATAAACATTTTCTGTAGTTTGTCTTAGGTGTCAGAAAGAATACTTGTATAGGACTATCAGCAATAATATCAGAATTCTTTCTCTCTCTTTCTCCAGTTCAAGTCATCTAGCAGTAAGAGTGTGTGTGTCGTGGGGTTGATGGCCATCATGGCTGACGACCCTGAACATCCCGACGTCTTCCTGCTCACAGACTCTGAACATGGTGAGACTACCTGTCAATCAAACAGCCAATCACATACAGACAGGAGTGTTCCGCCAAACTACTTATCTCCACTCCTCAGATGGTCTGGATGTCCTTAGTGTAAAACCTCAACACACCCCATACATACTCTCTCACACGCACTATACACCCATATTGTATGCAAATGCAATCACATGCATACACACGTGTGCACAGACACACACAGATGAAGACAAGCGCACGCACACACACACAGGTTCCTGTCTGTCTGACCCAGCAGTAACCCTGTCTGCTATGTGGACTGCATGCCTTTCATATCTGACAGTCTGTCTTTTTCTTTCTACACACACACAGTCTCCGTCGCTCATATGTTCTGCATTGCGGCAGCTTTACGGCTCCTGCTGTACACAGATGGGGATGGGAGACTAGATTACTGTAACTGTACACGGCTGGACTGGGCAAGGCTGATACAGAGTCTCTGGGCTGAATCCCAGTTCTCTGCTACAGTGACATTTTGTGACCGTGTGTCTCTGTGTTTCCTAGGTAACACCTATAAATACCAGGCAGGGAACAAAATGAATGCCCTGCTGTGGTTCAAACACCTCAGTGCTGCCTGCCAGAGCAACAGACAACAGGTAACAGACACACACACATACACAATCACCCACACATATACCCACACCCACCAGCCCTCACACTTTTTTCTCTCTCCAGGTCCCAGCCAATCTGATGTCCTTTGAATAAGTGCTGCTGAAGAAGACGGAATGATAGATGGAGAGAGATAAAATAAAGGAATAGGAGAGGAGAAGAAAGGAGGGTTAGTGACTTAGCAGCAGGAGCTTTCACTGCCATGACCCCTGACCTATACACCCTGACCCCAGCCCCACTGCAGCCCCACCTGCCACCACTGCCTTAACCTAAGGAGCCGTGCGAGTGCGAGTGTGTGTGTGTGTGTGTGTGTGTGTGTGTGTGTGTGTGTGTGTGTGTTGAAGCAGTGGTTAATTTGGCTGCATAGATTACTGAATGGGGAACGACACCACTTCTCCTTTCTCGTTCTCTCTCTCCATAGTTTTTTCCAGTGGACTATCAACCCTGTGGAACTATGGGATGTCTCCTCCTCTTTCTTGGGATGTATGGACATTGTATATCCTTTATCCTCGTTTTTCCATCACTCTTGACACACCGTGGTCTGGTGGAAGACAGACTCTGCCCTTTCTAGGGCTGGACTCACACACATACACAACCACACACATACAACACTGGACTAACTCAATGGAACGGGATTTTAAACACTTTTCTTTATCACACTTTGACTCACACCCACACACAAGGCCCCAATGGTGTCTTCACACACTTGACATGAGTTGGGCTCACAAAACTATGACACACTTTTCGCACACACTCACACACATATGCACAAACGTACACACAAACACAAACACACACACTCGGACGGGGGGAGAGAGCGTGTGATTGCAGCATTGTAAACATTAAGGGCTCTGATTCTCAATCTATTCCAGCAGAAACTGCTCCCACACACATGTCCTGAATGTCTCCTACTGTTTTATATTCCAGAGTCTCCCCTCCCCTTCTCTGCCCTATGTGTGTGTGAGAGCGTGTGTGTGTGTGTGTGAGCGCGTATGCTAGGTCACATCATCGGTACGATAAACCCAGTCTCTAAGCTTTCCTCTATTCCACTGTTATGGACCCAGTTATAACTCTTTTATAAACAGGCTTTTGGGTTGTTCTCTGGACAGCTGTCTGTGCTGTCCACTTGTTAAGTCTCTAGATTCCCCAGAACACACACACACACATTAACACTAAAGACTTGAAAGCTGTGAAAAGGTGAACGATAGGACAGAGTGAAAGATGGGGGAGTGTTAAAGGGACACTTGGGGATTTTGGCAATGAGCCCCTTTATCCACTTCCCCAGTCAGATGAACTCATGGATACCATTTTTATGTCTCTGTGTCCAGGATGAAGGAAGTTGGAGGTAGTTTCGCAAGCCAATGCTAACTAGTGTTAGCGCAATGGCTGGAAGTCTATGGGTTTCTACTAGCATGCTAACAGATAGCCATAGACTTCCAGTCATTGCGCTAACGCTAGTTAGCATTGGCTCGCAAAACTACCTCTAACTTCCTTCGTACTGGACACAGAGACATAAAAATGGTATCCACGAGTTAATCTGACTGGGGAAGTGGATAAATGGCCTCATTGCCAAAATCCCCAAGTGTCCCTTTAACTCCAGAAAAATGATTTTTATCTCAACTTGTTGTTTTGTTGTTGCTTTAACATGAGTGGGAGATTCAGGTCCTGAGCTAACCTGCTTCACAACTCTGTGTGTGTGTTTTATACGCACAGACTGCTACACACACACTGCTGCAGACAAACACATGAAGCTATCTGGAGCTATTCAGAATTCATTTGAATGATTTTGTTGTTTAGTGTTTGTTTCCTTGGTGTGTCATTGTGTGGGATGTATTGGCAGTATTACCCTGTAGATGACTTGCACATGTCTAGCTTGTTTTAATTGTCTGTTACATTTCATTTTTGGTTTCTTCACTTTTTTTAAACATTTTATACCTTTTATTTACTTGTTTTTGATTTTATTGTTGTCGTTTTTAATGTTTTCTCACCTATGAGACTCTCACATAGGGGTACGGTACAGACCTACTCCACTGAGTTCCATGGCAGCCGCTAGACCCTTCCCCTGGTCCATACTCCTGGCATCTTCACAGGGGTGTGCCAATGTACCAAACACACATTTTTATTCAGATTTGGGAGCAAGTGTTACAATTAGAACAAATTAAATGAATACGTTCTTGGGAAAGGATGAAGGATGGTGTAGTAACATATTCTGATACTAGAGTAATCTCAGAAAGGACTTAACGCTATACTATTGGTTAATCCTACATTCTCTCGTGTCTCTGTCTCAACCTGACAGTCAGGTTAGGTCCTGACTTGTAACAATGGTTTACATCTCCCATCTGTTCCTATAGCTATGTTTGTCTGTTTAGTTAGCATGTCTATTGTCTACACACAATCAGAGGTCCAGCAAGTTCGCGTAACATACCTCAAACTGACACTATGAACTCTAGCAGCAAGAGACTCCATCTCCCATGGGCCTAGTGGGGCAGCCGTTGTCTCTTAGGTCCTCTAGAGGCTGAGCTAATGGGAGTAGGTAGGTAGAACCTAACCCTAACCACTGATACAGGGTCAGATATTTATTCACCCCCTAATGGTTAAGGTTAGGATTTGGTGTAATCTGATCCTAGATCTGTGGCTAAGGGCAACTTCTACATACTCCATTTCAATGACCTACAGAGGCTCATTTCAGATGTTCAACTCCTCAGCTCCCGGTAGTTATCCCAGCATGACACAGACACACATCTACAGCATCAGCTCCAGCTCCATTAACAGCTACGCTCCAGCAGGGCTCTGTCATACACAGATGAGTGGATGGGGAAGCCAGAGAAAGAAAGAGAGGAATGAGAGGGGGTAGTGTTAGTGGTACGAAGGGATGAGAGAGGAAGGTAGTTGTAATTGTATGAGTGTGTAAAACCTCTAATTTTTTTAACCTGCTATTTAGGATTAGATAGGCAGAGCCTCTAGGCTGTCATTTCCTCACTGTTGAGCAGTGGGTAGAGCTCTATGGGAAGTGGAATAGCATATTCTGTGGAGTGAGTATGAACAGAGTTGAATGAATCTAGTATAGATGGAGGGGTGTAGTGAACTCTGATGCAACAGGAGCTGGACAGCGAAGCAATCGGACAGAAGCTGCCCACAGAAGACCAGCAGAGGCGAAAGCAGTCTGTTTCCCCTCTGTTGTCCTCTTTTGGGCTCCCATCTCGTTTCCTCTCACATCACTCTTCACCTTATCTTTCTCCTCTGGACATAGAGGGCTTCAATGCAGGATGAAGAGGGCGAGAGATGAAATGCAAGAAAATAATTCCCCCATGTTAGTGTAGTGTCAAACAGGGCGTGAGTGATGTGGATGCATGTATACCAGTGTCATAACTAACTATTATATGTAAAGGGTTAGGAGTGAGTTTTTATAATCCGTTAGGGTGGGCCTTTTGTTTCTGAGAACTATCTGAATGTCAAAAAGGTTTGTGAGGTTTCCACATTGTAACCAGAGTTTACGCGGTTTCTGTGTCTATGTACAAATGCGTAACCGTGTGTGTACTGTGAGTGAAGTTGCTTTTTGGATTTGTCTGCAGCACTCTTTTATTTTTTGTATTTTTATTTTTTACAGTTCAGCTGAGGTGACTGGTTTACAAGAGAGGGGGGCGTCGTGGTGTTGTATGTGTGCTGTAGGGATGGAGAAGTTGCCCGTAGCCATAGTTCAGCATATTCCCTCCAAATCCTAACTTTAACCATATGGAAAATGTGAAACTGACCTTGGATCAGTGTCTAGGGTGATATCTACCTACTCTACTCCATATGGTCCCCTGTAGCTCAGTTGGTAGAGCATGGCACTTGCAACGCCAGGATTGTGGGTTCGTTTCCCACGGGGGGCCAGTATGAAAATGTATGCACTCACTAACTGTAAGTCGCTCTGGATAAGAGCGTCTGCTAAATTATTAAAATGTAAAAAATATGGCTCAGTTGGAGAGTGATGTTTATGATGTGTTGAAGCTCTGTCCATGTCCCATGACCTGTGGGTTGTGTCCATGTCCCATGACCTGTGGGTTGTGTCCATGTCCCATGACCTGTGGGTTGTGTCCATGTGCCATCCCTCTACCTCCTGTACCCTGACCCTGGTGAGGACCCACCCATGTCAGGTGGCCCAGGTTTGCACTATGACCTCTGAACTGAGTGATGTGACCCGAGTCTCAGCCAGACAACCAATAAACACACTGCGCTTTTTATACTCTGCCCCTTTGGTTCGCTTTTTATTTATTTAAACATGGTTTCAGCTTTCAGCTAAATGTGGTGTATGAATGTGTGTGTAGGGCCAGGAATTTTGACCTACAACATGAACTGTTAAATGTCCTGGACAGTGCTTGTGATTAGAAAAAACTTGTGTGTGTGTATGCTGGTGTTTAATACACTTTAGGTACTGATTGATCTACAATCTTTCCTACTGAAATAAACCTACTTGAATTGTTGAACTGGTGTTATGGTTTTTCAATTGACTCTCGATCTCAATTTCTCTCTCAATTCAATTCAAAGGGCTTTATTGGCATGGGAAACATGTTTACATTGCCAAAGCAAATGGATAGACAAACAAAAGGGAAATAAACAAGGGAAACATTACACAAGTTTTAAAAGAATATAGACATTTCAAATGTTATATTATTGGCTATGTAGTGTTGTAACAATGTGAAATTAGTTGAAGTACACAAGGGAAAATAAACAGATAAATATAGGTTGTATTTACAATGATTGTGCTCCACTGCTTGCCCTTTTCTCATGGCAACAGGCCACAAATCTTGCTTCCGTGATTGCACACAGCGGTATTTCGCCTAACAGATATGGGAGTTTATCAATGTTTGATTTGTTTTCAAAATACTTTGTGGGTCTATGTGATCTGTGGGAAATATGTCTGATGTGGTCATACATTTGGCAGGAGGTTAGGAAGTGTAGCTCAGTTTCCACCTCATTTTGTGGACAGTGGGCACATAGCCTGTCTTCTCTCGAGAGCCAGGTCTGCTTATGGCGGCCTCTCTCAATAGTAAGGCTATGCTCACTGAGTCTGTACATAGTCAAGGATTTTCTTAATTTGGGGTATTCTGCCA